TGTATGAACTGAGCTTTAAGAGCTGATTTTTCACAATAAAAGAATCACAACATGAGTCCATCCACTTTTTACACACTGACATCATGGAGACAAATATTTTGTATTATTAAACACTGTCTTCTAAGAACAACAATTGTTTGTTTTTTCCAAAATAGAGATTTGGTGATAACTTGCTTTTTTTCAGAAAAATGAAACTTGGATTTCGCCCATCCCTTCCAAGCATTTTGTTATGTAATAGCAGTAAAAATCCTAATATTTCCAATTCAGCATTTTACATTTCCCTTCTTTTAAGCCCCTTTAAAAGGAACTGAAAGAAAAACTGGTTTCAGAAAGTGAACATCACTCTTACTAGCCTATTTTTCCCAGTGGAGTAGATGAAAAATACAAGTGTGAAATGACATATATATAAAATAAACAATCATAGTTGGAAAGAAAAGGAGAGTTAAAAAAGAAAGAACTGACGTTAAGTTCTCAAATATACCCATATTGAATTGTCAAAAAAGTGAAAACAGATTGAATGAAACTGGAGATGAAACATGTTTGTATTCTCTCAGACTTTGTGAGATTGCACTAACAGAATGAGAAAAAAGGTTTAAAAAATTCAGTTCCATTTGCCTGTATTTCCTTTGTTTTGTTCACGTTTGGAGGAGAAAATTTCAAACAGAGCCTAGTTGACTGTTCACTACATTTCTTGCCAGACACAAAGTATTAACACTGTTTTGAAAATGCTTGTGAGAGAAGAATTCTTTTGAGAGAAACCATGTCCTTAACAGGAGAATCTGAATCTCAAGTCCAAACTCTAAAGTAACATTTGCACTCTTAAGGAACATGCTATATAGGCTTATTTAGCTGACAGACTGAATTTGCCAGTATTTGTTCCTCACTAAAAAAAAAAGGAAAATATCCCATTTTGAATGTTAGACTTAATGTAAAAGTGATTTTCTACTAAGAGGCTGGAATAGGAAAAGAATTTCTCAACAATATGCTACACAATGTTGCTGAGAACAAGCACCCCCATACACCCTTTCTATAAAAATAATTTAATTATAGAAAATAACATGGATGCAAATATAGTTTCCAAATGATAGCATAGTTTCAGCCCAACTATTTCCAAGGAAATCACACTATTAATCCCTGAGAGCTATCAGATGTACAGAAGACATGGTTGGGTTATACAGACACCAAATTCTGTTGCTATGCAGTGTTACACTCCAAGTGCCAGAAGTCACCAGTGATGATTAGGAGGATATGGCACTGGAGCTATTTAAGCAACTAAGATAAATACACTCATTGGAATAGGTTACTGTTCACACACACAATATGCATTAGCTTTTGACCTGATGAGTGTGTGGTTTCAAATAGTTAAGACAGAAGGCATAAAGGAGAAGATGTATTATTATTATCACATAGCAAAATGACACTTACTCAGTTACAGGACCCTGACAAGCACAGGAGACAAACCCGTGTTACCTGAATTCATTAGTCCTTTACTTATTATGTTTCTCTAAACATATGATTACACTAAATTACTCCACTTTCTCCAACTCCTTGCCATGATGAGCTATCATGCCCTTGTCATGCATGATGTGGTTGGCTAGGATACCATCCTTTTTCCTTAAAGCCAATTTTCCTTTCTGTCCTCAATTCCCCACTCTGGCTTTTACACAGAAAAACTAACTTGCAGTTCAGCTACTTGAAAAAAAATATCGATATGACTTTTTTTTTTAAGTTGAGAATGCATAATAAGTTGCTTAAATTGTAACTTTCAAATATTTTTGCACATTTAAAGTCTCTAAATCTGAAGTTCATATGCTTGACCATTAGTTGAAAACTGGAAATTATTTTTCTATGCATTTATTACTGAGATGCAGGACATCCCAATGTAACCATTCTAGCCACATTCATCACAAGGGTTACCTGGGATATGGGTTGCACATTTAATTTCAATTTAGGATTAATTTTACTTTACGTTTAATTTTATATCTTGTTCAGGTTACTCTAATACATATTTTAAGCTGAAATATTCTTTTCTTGCTATACACAATTTTATCACCACCATTTTATCAAAACTTGATTGATCTACATTGTGAATGATTCAGCTGTAAACACCTGGGGATCTTGTATTTAAGAATTCTTGGGGACAGAATTTCTCGGGAGTTTGGTGGATCTTACCGACTAATTATTAAAATAAATAAATTGTATATTAGTAATACATGCATTTTGCCATTGACTATACTGAAAAAAAATCTGCAACACTATAAGAGCTGTTTACAAAATAAGATTTATATTTAAAAGGTATTGTATTTCTTTTTCTTCCTTTAATTTTAATGAAGTCTTTGACTACTACTTTAGACTATGATAACTTTTAAGGCAGGTAATTGCTAGAAACTTTAATAATTATCAGAATGTTTCTTTTTTAGGTTTCCACTTTTCAGGAAATGAAGCAATGGCAAGTATTTTGTAATACACATGTATATACATTTCTTTTTTCCATGTTAATCTTTGATTCATGGATCAATAGAAGAGTTACTTAATGAAAAAACTATTTTAAATAAGAGCTGTCGCAAACCTGTTTGACTCATATTTAACCTTATTTATTCCTGACATAGATAATGTCAGGGCTTGATTTTTCCAGCAGTCCTAATAATCTTAAAGATAACTCTGAAATTTACTTGCTATCTTTCCTGTGATGACCTTGAATAGCATAAATGGTTCTGCACATTTTCTGGATTACAAACATTTCCCTGTTTGGCACCAATGTCTACTTTGTAATCATTGCCTTGTGTATTTAATTTTAGGTACATTTTTAGTTCTTGAAGCTTTGTGCTGCTCATGGATTTCCTCAGACAAAGCATTTATAGCAACTTCACAAAGACAATACTAAATCTCCTTTTATTAAAATGTATTAAAACATAAGTTTCAGACATGCAAATATATTCAAACATAAATATCAGGCATACAAATGTCCAAAATGTAAGTAAAATTCAAGTGCTAATAAAGTATCTGGACTGTCCCTTTTTATTTCTGCTAACAAACACTAAATGCAAGGATTCCTAGAAACCTCAAGCCACCTTTATGACACTGACTTACTTTAAGAAATGACTGATTGAGTGAAATCGCACCTAATGATATCTGCAGCACTTAGTGCCACTCACTAAAGGGAAATCACCATTTATGTACTGATGGTTAAAGATAAAACTAAAATTTTGTCTTACAGGAAGCTGAATCATAGAAGCTTGTGAACTAACATTTTTGCCATAATTTTAAATTTATTCTAAGTCATGGATAAGTTCTCTGGATTTTGCTGCCTTGAGCATTTTCAGAAGCAGCTCCCCCGCAGGCTCAAAAAAATTCCCTAAAAAGTACCCAAAAATTTATCTAAAGCTGCTGTTCCTGTACTGCTTCCCCTTGCATTAACAATTCCAACTGCAGAGCTGCACAAAAACATCACACTGAAACCTGGTCCTTCAGCAAAAATGTTCTCACACTTTCTGAAGGACAGGGTTCTCTTGGGAAGGGGTGGGGGAACCCTTTGGGGCTTTAGTGGTGTTTTTTTTCTTCCTCTAACTGGGTTACTGCACCCTTGCAATTGCCAGTGTAAGTAGGAAGGAGGAATCTGGGGTCAGAGGTGAGGAAATCAAAGCTGCCACTCTGACTGCAGCACAGATCCAGAATGTCCATGCTGACCTTGAAACTGCACCTTAAAACATCTTGGGTAAGATATTAATGCATGCCTTTCCATAGCCATTCATGTAGCTTTTCCTTTTAATTAATTTCTGGATATGATAGATTGTGCTTTCAAGAGCTATCAGACTACCATATTAAATTTTAGAATCATTAGAAAGAGAAATTGAAAAAAAGAACAAAAATATGAACTTCAAAGGTGAGGCACAGAATAATAACCATGGCAAATAAGAGCCCCACACATTTTGGAGTTTCAAACAAGCTGTTTTCCAAAGGTAAACAAAGGTCATCATTATCTGACCTCAATAGTTATTTATCTGTTTCCTCACATTCCAGAAGTTTATGTTCTAACCATCAGAATGTGAAGTGTCCCATTAATTTACTTTCTTCTTATATAGCAAATATTACATATTTTGTACAAACAGCAATCTATCAAACACTAGAGTGCACCCATCTCACCTTGTAACACTAAGGGTCAAAAAGCTGCTTCTAGATGATTGGAGAACAACTTTGGCTTGTTTTAAAGCTTACCTGAAAGTAGGTATTTAAAGCCAAGCAAATCTTAACTCAACACTCCCAGAATATTCTGCAATAGAACTGTTTCTTCCATCTGTTGTGGGAATTCAGAGGGGCTGCATCTGCTCTACTTTGTCCAAAGCACTTCATTTGGAACAGAAATAAGCAGCACTCCTCCAGTCTGTGTGCTGACTTCAGAGCAATTAGGCAGCACCTAATGGGAGGTGCAAGAGGTAGGGATTTGCCTGGCAGCCTGGATGCCCACTCTCAGTCCTGTTACTGGGAAATACTCTTAATGACTGACATTTACAAACAAGAAGCTACTGGTCTCTTGGCTGGCAAGGATGTCTTTTGTGCCAGAACATTCATAGTCTCATTCAATAAATTTAAATTGAAAGTGCCCTTAGATTCCATCCTTTTATTATTTTTTTTAATTTGGTTTCACCCAATAGTGTGTAAAAAATCAATAGTGTTACATCTTTATACTTGTTGATCCCCTCATAAACCCATGTCTCAGACTGTTATTACTGAGTGCAAGTGCCTCCTTCTGCAAAGACTGAACCTCATAATCCATTTTGCATCTAAACCAATCTCCACACAGAGAAAAAAAAATCCCCAACAAAATACACCAGGAATCCTCATGTCTGTATGGGCACTGAGTGCATCCCTGAGGCTTTATGCTAAGCAGCTGAAATAACTTTTGTGGAACTGTTGAGACCATCAAACCAAGGAAGTATAACCATTCCAAACATGTTTTCCTTCTGTACTCTGGATTGAAAAGTAAATGTCTTACAACTTACCAGTGCCTCCATCTGCTCTTTTCAAGACTGTTGACTATTCACTTGTTCAGTAATCCTAAAAAGAAGAAAACAGGAATGCTTATTTTCAATGCCACCATCAGGTGTAAGTAGATGGATCCAAATTTCAGCATTTTCCACAAGCATTTAAATATGACATGTTAAAAAAAAATAATTTTAACAATACTCTACAACTTGATAAAAGTTTTCTCAAAATCAAAATCATTGCAATAGAGCTGAACATTTCTATGTGAGACAACATCTGTTTCTGCCATCCTCTTCATTGCCTCTTCAGTCCCTAAGCATGGATTGACCTGGATGCCTTTTCCTATCGTGCCAATGCAGGGATGCTTCACAAATTACATTCACAGCTTCTTATTTCCAAAGCTCACAATAATGGAAGTAAGAGTTCTGGGAATTCAAAAATCAAAGGATCATGACTGCATGGAGACAAAATACTCTTATCCTGCTTTCTTCTGGTGTTTTCTTCACCAGTATAGAAGATGCAGCTCCTGCCCTTATCAAAGAGTCTTTGACAGTTACAGCCAAAAAAAGTTAATTTTAAGAAAACAAAAATAATCTCAGAATGCATCCTACAATGAATAAACACTTATTTACGCAACTTTGTAAAACCGTCCAAAACACTTTGTTTGCAACAAAATCTAAAATATATAAAGATATTGTCTTATATATTTATTTTGCAAGTCATAATTTTTTAAAAATATTTTCCTTCATCATAAAACTTCATTGCAGATTTAAAGCCTAGGTTCATTAACAGAAGCATCATAAGGCATTTAATCTAGCTTTGACTTAGCCTGTGTGCTGAGTGCTGTCTCTTCTAGCTATCATGAGAGAGCATTTTGGGTGAATTGTGGGTGATCTCAGTGATCCTCACAAAAGGAAAGCTGTCAGGAGCTTCCCTCAGTACAACAAGGAGTTGACAAAGCCACTTTTACTTTCTACAAAAATGTAAAATAGCAATAACAAAGACCAGCACTTAAAGAGTAACATGAATTTATACACAATACTGTGTTCAGAGGCAATTAAGAGTTTCATTTACAGCAGCTTGTTACCAAAGTAGTGCCAGCAGTGTTTATTAATTAAAGGTGTTTTTTCATCCTTAGCTCCTTTGTGAAGAAAGTGAGAATTAGTCTACTGTTTCTGGGGAATTACAGTTTTCTAATTATTTAAAAAATGAGGGTGACTAGTTCTGCCACCTATTTGCCCTGCAAACATTCTGCCTCTTATACATGCCAGAATTATGACAGTTCTGTTTCACACTGCCTATACATTATTTTAAATATTGCTGCTGTACAGAATCTAAATTATTTTGTCCATCAACCAAAATCTGTGCTGGTGTTCTTTTAAAAAAGCTCTGCTCTTGGCTTTCAGAAGAACATGTTGTTTCATTCCCCTAAAGAAGCTCAGAACATCAAGGAAAATAACATCAAGTGATAGTGGGTTCAAACATATTTCTAATCTTTACAACCCTTCAGTACTTACATTAAAAAAAGTGAGGCATAATTTATTTCTGATGAAACAGAGTTGCTCAGCTCTCTGCTAATAGGATCCTCAGGGCAAAAGGGGTAGGGAAAGCACTGATAAAAGCAGAGAGCTTCATTTTACTGGGATTTTTTTTCTAGTCTGGAAACAATAAATTAATAATAGTGTTTACTCTGATTATCGTTGATTTAGGATAAATTGTTCTCATTTAGCAAATGGGGAAATGAAATTCAGTGCCCAAGGGACAGAGAATGGAAATCTATGCCAAAGGGTACAATTGTAGACACATTTAGAGACCCATTCTGAGCTCCTGGATTAATTCCAATCATTGCTGATAGTAGGGAGGCTGATATTCTAGTACCGTTTACCAGTTTAATGATGCAAGTTGCCCCTCCTTTCTCCTCCTCTCCCTTTTCTTCCCCTTCTGCTCCCCTCATGTCCCTCATAAAACTTATTTGCTTTTTGATTAATCCTTGAAAAGCCACTAGCCTTCAAGCTTTTGGAAAAGCCAGGACAATTTTTCTCAGAGATACACACCTATGTTTTAATAATTTTAATTAATCCAAAATTATTCTTCTGCCAACCAACCCTTATTCAATGCAGGAATTGAGCAGGAAAATGTCAGAATCCTGTATGGTACACTGTACTGCTAAAAAAGATGTACTTCTCAGAAAAAGCATAATGAAAGCAATAGAAACACCGTTATTCATCCAAAAAGGCAGCTTGGACAAAGTGTACTGTTAAAAGTATTGTAATTTCCTTAAAGTGCTGTAGTATCATCATATACTTCCCATACTTGAAAACAAGGAAAGAGGATACATAACCCAGTACTGGAGGTGATGACAGACAGCAAAAGCTTCAGATTAGTGTTGCATTTCCTCCTATGGAAAGTATTCCCATTTATTACCACTCATTAAAATTTAACTTTATAGAGCATCTTTAAAAGGTCACTTTTAAAATGGGAGTATTATAGCTGATATTACTGACTAGTTAGAACTTTAAGAACACAAATCCTGTCTTGTTGTTTTCAATTATTAAAGATAAAGCATAAATATTATTAATTCAGTTATTTTTAATAAAAAGTAGTTTATTGTTTTGCTATGTATCTAGCCCAGTCATTTGCATCGAGTTCTCCTAATAAATACCTTTGCCTTGAAAATGGCATTGTATTGTTACACTGATGTATTCATTACCTCATATTGCATTTACCATATTCTAAGATGGTATATTCCTTAATGTTTCAGTCTTATCACAGGTGCTGCTTTTAGCACTTACACACCATGTATGGAAGCAAGAATATATGCAAATATCAAAACAAAGACTAATTTTAGAAAATTTATGCTACTCTGCATACCTAGAGTAGAACCCAAAGTATTCAGTTGGTCTATCCCAATAGGATACTCATTATTTTCATCTTAATATTCAGGGAAATGTGATGGTGCTTAGAACTCCATTCCAACAAATTTTGGTGCCAAAATGGGCTTAGCACAAGTGCAGGCTACCACTGCTTCCTTCACAGGCTGTCAGTGGAACTTAGAGATATAGATGATCCATTTCTTTCAAGAAAAACTGAATTAAAAGTACACAGATGGTCAGTTTTAACCCTTAACACCACGAGTTTAAACCTGAAATTCAATTTCTCTACTGCTACTTTAAAGACACATTTGTGATCTCTTCTGACAGCTTCTCCTCCTTGGCACAAGGACTGTGCTGACTTTGAATGTTATGAATGGCTTTTAGTCTCCTTAATTAGGGGTTCCAAATGATCCAATAATGTCACAGTGATGAGCTTGATGTACTTTTTAATGGCTATGTTTGTACTCATAGCACTGCTCTTTCGAAGGATTTTTGTCTTCAAACTTGGATGTAACAGAATTATGCAGGTACTGGCTGGTACCTCACCCAAATCAGTGCTTGTAATTGTGCTACTGGACTAGAGAGTGGCAGTCAGGAAACACTTGGTTTTCACAATGGGAAAAAGGAAAAAAGCCAGAGCAAGCAAGACATACCAGTGCCAAAGACCAGCCCCAAAAATCTGTAGAACCTAACCTATGCCTCCTATTTTTTGTCCCCTTAGTTGCACACACTACCAAAGGAACGTTCTTTTAAATATTTAAAGATAATTTTCTTAAAATTTCTGGGTGAACTTGCAAATATACAAATAAAAGTTTACTCTTTGGAGTCCTGCTGGTACTAGATCTCATCAGGTAGATTGAAGATCGCTTTCTAAAACTGAGTAAATGGCTTTAGATGTGACTTCATCTCTTTCTTAGCCTCACCATAAGTTACATTTCAGGAGGAAACAGTAATATTATGAAGATTAAAAGAAAAATAAATAAAACTGGAAAGAGACAAGCCCTACAATCAAATTAAGACTTCTTTCTAGGATATTTGAGTCAGAAATTTACAAGCAAATAAATAATGAAGTAGATGTGTAACACATGTGTGTTCCTACTACCTGCTTACTCTCACCTCCATCCATCCTTTATTTTGAACTCTCCCAAAGCTTTAGACACATCTGCATCACTCATTGTCAAGCTTTAGGAAGGACCTCAGAGTTTCAAGTCTTGTACAGCTCTAGATGCAGCAAAAATCAAGGATTCAGCTATCCAAGACCTCTTGGAATATCAAACCAATAAATTCCCTTCCACACAGGCTGAGTCAAAGCCCACACAAAGTGTTTTAACAGTCGACTCTTCCTTTTAATGCACAGCCAGAGAAGATTCAAGCCTAGTTAGCAGGACTAAATGGTTTGTTTGGACTGATCAGATTCAAACTCCAGATGTCAAACTGCACTCAGAGAATGAACCAATAGATGATAGTGAACACCTTCAATCCTTGGTTAGAAAGGTTTTTCCAGACTGCTAGATATAATGCAAGATTCAGTAAGATGTGTGATTTCACTTCTGCTCCTTGGACTGCTTCTATATTTGATACTGAAATTACAATGGACTTGTTCTGAAGGGAATGCTTGAATCAGGCATATCAAATATAGCCACCTGCTACTATTAAATAGCATTTGTAGTTTGCCTACTGTGATATCATCTTGTAAGTAAAGTTCAAAACCTATGAGAAAACCTGCTCTAATAAGAAATCCATTTCAACAGAAACACCAGGTTACATTAAAAAAAAGGATTTGTTTCCTAATACCTTTTTAAGTAGCTTTGGCTAAACTGCAGGGAAACATCCACTTACCTTTAGCTATCAAATTGCACCAGAAAAAGAGTAAACTTTTAAAATCACAAACATTTTCCAGTATACTTGATTGAATTTTGTCATTCTGGTAACAGGCAACAACCTTTCTGTAATCCACCACCAAAATGATAAATGACCCTAAAATTTATAGAAGAAACAGATGTAAACCTTAATTCTAGAAACAAGTGAGAATCAACACTTTCCCTGAAGCATTCTGATTTTTTAGTCTGTCATTCTAAACAAAAATCAGGAGGAGTGTAACTCAGAGAATCAGATGTTTTTGAATTTTCTCCAGAGTGAGATTTTTATCTGCACAGTGCCATCAGCATATTCACACAGCAATGTGATCAATGTATTTGA